TGTGTTAATTCTTTATATATTATGGAGATTAACCCCTTGTTGGGTATGTGATTTGCAGATATCTTCTCCTAGCTGATGAGTTGTCTTTTCATTTTGATCCTGGTTTCCAGGATATCTTGATTTTTAATTATTTCCTCTGATAGCTTTCTTTCTTTTATACAAGTTGGACTAACCTAAATTATGATTTATATGTTAGAAGGGAACTTACAAGTTATCTAGTCTAACCTTTTCATCTAATAATCTTATCTCTTGGCTTTATTACTTATATATGCACTTGTATCTATATTGCTCTTCCTTGGGAACTTCAGAGTTGTTTTTATATCCTTGTTATGTTGAGAAATATCTGTTATAATGTTCTCATAACCATTTGATTTGATGTTTTAACACTGGGGATAATTTTTCCCTGCACAGTCTTCAAAATATCTTTCTCTAATTAAATAGAGCAACAGTTACATGCAGTGATTTTCTAGGTTGTTCACTAGACCTTATTACAGAAGACATGCTATAGGTTGGTCATATTTTATTCTGTTAATATAACAGTAAATTGAATCACATACTAATTTTTTGTGTTGAAATACAAAACCAAGTGTAGATTATTTTTATAGTCACTAAGGCATTAGAAGAGCACATTAGACAAATTTCCACCCAAAGCAATATTATTTATTTAAATAAAAGAAATGAAAACATAGTCTAGGTAAATGTTACTAGCTACTCAGTATGTTCTCTAAGAATTTAACTTTAAGTTTCTAAATGAAAATTATCTATGCTTTTCTTGTTAAATATGTTTTTATTTATCCCAAAGTCCAGGAAATAAGAATTTCCTTACTGGAAGACCTGCTATAGTTACAGGTGAAGATTGTGGAAGCATGAATGAGAGGAGACAGTCAGACTTCATTACTGAAAAACAGTCAGTACAACAGATTTGGGAAGAAAATAGAAAAGAGGTTTCAAATTTTCTTGAAGATGTGAACCAGCCAACTCCCAGCCTTTTGTCAGAGAATCGTGACTCTTTTGTTAGTGAAAATGTGATCAATTCATTAAACATAGATCAACAGAGGATAAAGAAAACCTTTGACAAGTGTGGTTATGACAGTATGGGAGATATTTGTGCAATCACTAGTTCTGATAAAAGGCATTCCACTGATACATGCATTAGAAGTACTTTTACAAATCCAGATTTGGCTTGTAGTAATTCTACTTTTAATAAAACAAGTTATCCAGAAAAGTGTCTGCCAAACAAGAACTATCAGAAAGAGTACAACAATCATGAAAGAAATAATCTTAGTGCATCTTTTGAGAAGGATAGTTACCCAGCCAGCTCTGAAAAAAAAGGTTGGTGTTATACATGGAAAGCATAATAATCTATTGTTTTTTTTTTCAATGTATATATATCTTATATATAAGGTATATATGTGTGCATGTGTATTTGGAAGAATACGAAATTAAAAATAGAATGACATTCTATTATATGACATTGTGGACCAGTGATTTCCCTCTATATGGATCATGCTAATAAGTTTCTAATTAAGAAAAAAGAAATAGTCTATGCTAAAGTTTTAGTTCAATGCATACTTTTATTTTTAAAGGAAAATTTGAACGTGATTACCAAGACAAGACACCACAGAAAAAAATCCAGAAATATCCAGTGAACCATATGTAAGTTTTTGGGTACATCTGGGGAATGCAAATCAGGATCTAGTATAATGCATGTGGAAGGGTTGAATCGATGCAAAGTGAGGTAGACGTATTGCTGTCTGAGGGTGGGCAGACTGGCCTCAAAGAAGGCTTACCAGTTGTGAGAATCTTAGTAGTATCACCCTAGTTGAGAGTATGGTGGTCATATTTGCCAGCACAAAAATATCTTCTTATCTGAATCTTAGTATTAATTAGATTTGAGAAAACTGACTTATGTGTTCGAGAAACTTATATACTCACTAGAATGTCAATTTATTAATTTACAGTAAGAAAAAGAAGGGTCACATGTGTGTTTAAGCATTCCAGAATGCTTACTGGCTTGATAAGCATGTTTTCTAACTTTTGGCAGCTCTCCATGGGAAGGTTGCTTGGTTAGTATAGAATCAGAACAAGGGAGTAATGGACTTCAAATGCTAATGGCATAAGCAAGCATATCAACAGGTTATGGGACTGCAATTATAGTTAATTCAAGTTTCAGGGGCCGGCCCAGTGGTATAGTGGTTAAGTTGACGTGCTCCACTTTGGCGACCTGGGGTTCACAGGTTCAGATCCCAGGCGTGGACCTATCAAGCCATGCTGTGGCAGGCGTCCCACATATAAAGTAGAGGAAGATGGGCATGGATGTTAGCCCAGGGCCAATCTTCCTCAGCAGAAAGAGTAGGATTGGCATTGGCTGTTAGCTCAGGGTGAATCTTCCTCACTTTTATGAGAGGTTTGGGGGATTCGATCGGAGACGTAAAAGAAACTTTCAGACAAATGGACTGAAGGTATATTTTATTATATAGAGAATAGTAAAGGCGGTAGTCCGCAAACAGATCTGACTAGGTCAAATATTAAGAGGGAAAAACACCAGCTTGTTCAGAAAGGGAAACACCAGATCGGCTGAGATAGCGGCAGATTCCAATAGGTCATATAATAAGAGGGAAAAACATCAGATCGATTGGAAAGGGAAACACCAGATCGACTGAAGGGAAATGACACAAATCAACCGGAAAGAGAAACACCAGGTTGACCGAAAAGAGAACACATCAGATCGGTTACTTACAACATCCGCGCCCCACTGCCGGGAGAGTCCCTTCAATTGACACGGCTGGGTGGGAATCACACGTCCTGGTCAAGGCCTCCCTTCCACAGGTGAGACTCTCACTAGGCCTCTGTTTCCAGCAGTTTATATAAGCAGTTACACAGTTTACAGAGCAAGCATTCAGTGTTCCCATGCACAAATGGTTATCAGTGGCGTAAGTGTACTGAGCCCCCTGGCTATCGTCCCAGCCCAGTAGTTGTGTACGTGCATTGTTTTCTCTAGTTATCGTCCCAGCCTGGCACAGATGACCAGTCCATCCCGAGCTGTGATGCCCAAAGGACCTTGAAATTCTTATAAATTGCAACTATCTCTGTGGGAGAAAGGCCAGTTCCCACCACACAGAAAGCGGCTTTATATTTCTTTGTGTGCTGGTGGCTGTAGGTTAATGGAACGGCCGAACATGGCTGCACTCATGTCAAGACACTCACCAAAAAAAAAAAAAAAAGTTTCAGAATAGTCCTAACTTTCTTGGTAATAATTGTGATTTAGTCAAATCTTGGTAATTGAGAAACATGAAGTAGAATAGATTTTTATTTTGGAAGTACTTTCTTATGGAAATATTTAAAATGTCTGTTTGTAAAAAAATACATAGATGGCATTTTTATGGGATTGGCACACAAAACAGATTCACAACTTATAAAATCAACAAATTAGGTTCTTTGTTATCAAATCTCCAAGTATTCAGGAACTTATGAATGAAAAACAGCATGTTAGACCTTGAATTTTAAAATGTACTTTATGAAAGTGATTTAGAACATGGTTCCCAAACCTGACTGCAGATCCAAATCACTCAAGGGGGTGATTTTAAAATACAAAATACCAAATTCGACCCCCGCATAATAAATAGGCTCCTTAGGATGGAGCTTATGAATCTTTATTTTTTAAAAAGCTTCTCGTATAATTCTGATCTATAGCCAACTTTGGGAACCATAATTTAGAATAATAATTTTCAGGGAGAATAAAGCAAACTTTAGTACTGTCTTATTTATGACCCTAGGGTTAATAACCCTTTGGAAGAATTGCATTCAAAGCAGTCGTGGAACTTTGGACTTGGTGAGGTAAAGTACATTTTACATTATCTTTCCAATTAAGTCAGTTGTATTATCATGTTATATTTTAGTATTTGCAGTTTACTTTAAGGTTAGCTTTAATCGAAAAATTTCTTTTTAGGCTAACTCTTTTTCTCATTCTGGGGAAATTATAATTTAGATCTAGAAATAAAATTAACACTGTATTTGATTTATTTATTTGAGACAAACCAATCTAGATGCATTTAAAATTCTTTCTGTAAGTCCTGTAAAATTTTTTCCTAGGTGGAAATGCTTTGGGCTTCAATGTGCTACAGGTGAACATAGTTATATATTTAAGAATACTGAAACATCTATAGACATCGGTTATATAAGTTATAACCCTTGCTCATAATAAAAGGGTATGATTGTTATAACAGCCTAGGCATTGTGCTAGGAGCTTTAAGTACTTCATCTCTAATCTACAAGAGCCTGATCCTGTAAACTCTTCACAGCAAAAGAAACTCAAGTTCAGAAAGATTAAATAACTTGTTCAAGGTTACACACTTGAGCCCAGGATTCAAACTTTTGTCTTATCTGACTCTATATTTTCAACTATACTAATTGTTTTCTCTTTTTATCTTCAGTATATGCATATTATGAATACATTTTATGAGAGTACATATTATGAATTCATTTAGTGGAATTTATTGAGTGTCTGTTATATGCTAGACAGTGGGGAAAAACCAGTTTTTGTTTTTATGAAGCTCATATTTTGCTATGCA